CTCTCTGCCACCTCTTAGACCTTTACACTCACTCAGGAGGCACAGATGGTTGATCTGAGGGCAGCTGGGCATGCTCGCTGGTCATTGTGTCTGCAGATCCATGGCTGCTGGCTGGCATTCCTGTGACAACAGCTAATTGATTGGATTAGGAGTTTTGAATGATTTGTTGGGAGATAGCATGGAGAGGACATTGATGAGCAGGGTGTAATTAGTAGAAGAAGAATTCATATCAGCTTGAGGGGGGAAATAGGAGTCAGGAAGGAAAGCTTATGGGGTTCCCAGTCCAGCACAGTGTGGTTGTAGGGTTGAAGCCTCATTCTCCTGAAATCTGGGACAAGGTAGTTGATCTCGGTGTCCTCCAGAGCTTGAAGGAACAGGGTCCTGTTGCAGTTGCTGTACATTAGGAATAAGCGTCAGGGGGAGAAGAAAAGGGTTTGAGGTGGAGTCAAGGAGTCCTGTGGGGGAGGCCCTCAAGCTTAGCAGCCTTTGGAGTTGCAAGAATAATCCTGAAGGGGCCCTGTTATTTAGAGGAAAGGGGTGAGGGGCATTGGTCTGGAGGAGAGAGAAGAACCTGGTCTCTGATGCTAGTTGGGGATGCAGAAGGGTTGTTATGGTCGAGGTAGGGGGTGGTCTGTTGTTAAGAGAAGCTTTTTCTTTTGCTAGCTGCTTTGGTTTATCCCCTGCCAGTCGCCTGGGCTCTGCCGCGCCAGCCTGGTTCTAGAGCCGCATTAGTCTCAAATAAACACACAGGAGGCTATATTAATTATGAAGCTGTTGGCCTTGTTTGTCTCTTACTGGCTAGCTCTGACTTAAGTATTTATCCCATAATTGTTAATCTAAGTATGTTTCTTACCGGAGAATAGTTCCTGGCGTCCTACCCCCATGGCGTCACATGTTGACTCTCCTGTGTTTCTCCTACCCAGAATCCTCCTGGATTCCTAGCCCCACCTATCTAGATTCCTATTGGCCAGACAGTGCTTTATTAGCATAAGACTTCCCCAACAGTCTGTAAAGTCCATGGGAGGGAACAGAGATGAGGATGTAAGGGTGTAAGCAGGGGATCAGGGAGAGGTGAGGGTTTAGGTGAGAGATCCGAAGTTAGAACCGGCCACCCAGACATGTGTTCAAGGCTGAGGTGAAAGGGGTCATTTTGGGGAGAGCCCTGAGCCTGAAAAGAGCCAGAGGCATGAGTTTTGTGCAGTCGAGGTGAAGTTCCTGTGACATTTTAACGAGAATATTTTCTAAAGAACTGTTAGTTTGCTCTACCTTCCCTGAGGACATGGGGTGGTATGGGTTATGAAAACGCCAAAGGATGCTGAGAGCTTTAGATCGGGTTGGGGAGACCAGAGAGGTGAATTCAGGCCACTGTCTGACTGAAAAGGGGCTGCAATTCTAAACAGGGGAATAATTTCCCTGAGAAAGATGTCAGAGAGACTGTCGGGGCTTTTTTGTTAGTGGTTGGAAATGCTTCTGCCCACCCTGAGAATGTATCAACTAATACCAGGAGATATTTGACTGCTGTGATTGTGGGCATGTGGGTAAAGTCAAGTTGCCAGTCTGTCCCTGGGACAGAGCCCCTGGCCTGGTGGGTAGGAAAAGGGGGATTAAGGTACCTGGGTTTAGGGTCTGACATCTGACAGGTTTTACAAGAGGCAGATAGATCTTAAGAAATATAAGTCCTCAGGGTGGGCTGGAGGTGAGCCTTGAGGAACTGAGAGAGAGCCTGACTGTTAGGGGGAAGAGCTGGTACAGATAGGACAAAATTTGTCGAGTATCAGGAGGTGACTGAGGACCTGGATTGTAGTGGATGGACTCCCTCTGGTGGTTGAGGAACATCTTGGTCTCTGACTTCTCAGTCCACTTGTTTTCCTTAGAGGTAATGGAGCTGTCAGTCTGATGAGACTGGCAGTAAATAATCCCTATAGCTTTGGGTAGGTGGGAGGCCTTTACCTTGGCCATAATTTGACCTGACTTAGTCATGGATCCTGCTTTTGTAGTAAGTAGCCCGTGCTCTTTGCAGATAGCAGCGTGGGACAGGAGCATATGAAAGCATGTTTGGAGTCTGTGTGGACAGTTAGACAGTGTTGTTGGGGAAGTCTTATGTTAATAAAGCACTGTCTGGCCAATAGGAATCTAGATAGGTGGGACTAGGAGTCCAGGAGGATTCTGGGAAGGAGAAACACAGAGAGTCAACATGTAGCCGCCATGGGGTAGGAGCCCGGAACTATTCTCTGGTAAGAGACACAATTAGATTAACAATTATGGGGTAAATACCTAAGTCAGAGCTAGCCAGTAAGAGACAAGCAAGGCCAACAGCTTCATAACTAATATAGCCTCCTGTGTGATTATTTAGGGACTACAATGCGGCAGAGCCCAGGCGGCTGGCGGGGGATAAACCAAAGCGGCTAGCAAAGAAAAGGCTTCTCTTTAACACACTGTCCCTGTGCTAATTGGAAGGCACGGAGGGGAGCTGTGAGTTCTGCCTGCTGGTTAGTAGTATGGACAAGCAAACAAACAAAAAAGTAGGTTTGGGGTCTTGTTGAATCTGAGCTGTTCTGGAGAACCCTGTGTAAAGGCGTTGACTGTGTGGTTGGAGTTCACCACACAGGATCCAATAGAAACACCTCATTTTGAGACCTAAATGGAGACAGAAGTAGAAATTACTTACATTTAGGAAAGGAATTGAGCAGATGGTGGCACTGTTGCTGACAACAGGTACTCTCCACCGCCTCTCCCCCATCAGCTGAGGACCTGGACTCATCTCTCAGACTGAGATGGTCAGGACAAAGACAGATAATATTAAGTCACATGCGTAGATTAGAACTTATGGTTGGCAGGGGACCAGGAGATATGGGCCGTGGGATGGGTATGAAAGCAGAACAGTAAAGTTAGAAGACAGTAGGGCGGGGCCATCCCTGTGACCATTCACTGGGGAGAGATCCTCACAGGGGCTGTGGGATAAACCTGTGGGTCAATGTGAGGGTGAGTGACGGCCGCAAGGACGGTGAAGCTGGGTTTGGGCTGAGATAATGGCGGACAGCCTGTGCAGTAGAGTTGAGAAAGACTTGGTGTCTACTGCCTACAAGTAGATACAGGAGGCTGAGGTTGATGTGAAGAGCAAGGCAAACACCCCCAAATCCCGAGCTTTGGAAAACGTCTGATCCAGGATGGCACGTATGCGTATACAGCCACAGTGTGCAGGAAGACTTTGGGGAGAGCCAAGGGGTGTCTGTGGCATGGCGTGAAACAATGGAAAGACTTGATCTCCAGAGTGATGTTCTTGAATGGGGAGTCAACTGATATTCCCAAGACCAAGAGAAACAACAAGCCTGGATTTGTGCAGGTACAGAGGAGGCACATGGTGCAGTACAGGGGGCAAACACTGGGCTGAGGCCTTGAAGTCAGGCCCCCACTTAGATGACGTTTAACTGCTCAGGTGGCTCACTAGATGTGGGTGACAGGGTGACCCATAGGAGAAGCAAGAGCAGGGCAGCTGTGGCCCCAGCCTCATACTCTCCTGTGAGACAATCAGGGACTTAGTGGGAGTGGGGACCTGCTTTGTGGGCTTGGATAGATAAGCCTAGAGTCTGTTAAGGGACACAGTTTCTCTCATCACGATAGAGCAGTGTGACCATTGAGGGTGTGGCATGGCCTCTTCTTGAAGGAATGGAAGCTTCTGGTTGAAAACAGACCCCTATACTGTCCTGTGAGGCTGGAAACGTTTGTCCTCCCTGCCTCCCTGGGTCAGTTCCAACACTCGCCCAGCTCAGTCTCTCGTCTCAATCTTTGACACTCTCCTTAGCTGTGCTGTCATCTGTGTCTCCCTGTGAACTTATGTTATTAACTATTTCTGTGTGTACCATGTGAGGTTCCTCTCCTTTATAGTGGTCTGATTGTTTTGTGTGTGAGTGTGTGAGAGAGTGTACATGCAGAAGCCACAGAGTGCACACGGATGTCAAAGACAATCTGAGGTGTCACTCCTCACCTACTGCGTCTAGACAGGTCTCTCTGGTCATCTGATACTGGACTTCAGACATACTTCTGGTTATTCACTAGTCTCCTCTCATCTCTGGTCAGGAGCACTGGGATTATGGACTTGTTCTGTCAAGATTGGCTTTGCATGGGTACTGGGATTTGATCTCAGATCCCCTGTAATGCATGGAAGTACTCTATCCCTTTTTTTGTTTTGTTTTGTTTTGTTTTTCCAGGCAAGGTTTCTCTGTGGATTTGGAGGCTGTCCTGGAACTAGCTCTTGTAGACCAGGCTGGTCTTGAACTCACAGAGATCCTCCTGCCTCTGCCTCCGAGTGCTGGGATTAAAGGCGTGCGCCACCACCACCCGGCCTCTCTATCTCTTGATATATCTTGCCAGACTGTCTCTCTTTTCTTTAGTTGAGCACCGACTCTAATTGTTTTCCCCATTAGAGATTTTTGTTTAATATTAAATTTTGTTTTCTTGCTGTGGCAGGGTCTTTCTCTGTAGCCGTGGCTGTCCTGGAATTTGCTATGTAGACCAGGCTATGACAAATGGTGGCTGAAAGTAGCAGATGAAGAGAATCTGGTAAGCACACCCGGGTCATTTTCAGACTCACTGCACTATTATGGACTGACATGTAAGGGACCAGCTGCCCTGTGACATGTGAGGTGAGCAGCTGTGCTCCTCATTTCTGTCCTGTCAGACCCTGAACCCGCTGGCTGCTCACGTGCTATTTACCCTAAGACAGCTCCTGTCTCACAGTCTCACAAAGCTGCAGTCAGACAGGTGTGGTGGTGATAAGTGCCTTTAGTTCCCGAACTTGGGAGGCAGAGACAGGAAGACCTCTGTGAGTTCAATGCTACAGAACAACAAAAGAGCTGCAGTGGCTTTCCCATGCTCACCTGGCCAGTCAGTGCCAGTCTCCCTGCTCTGAGTGCCCACACATGTCACTTCTGTCACTGTCTCCCACATCCTCTGAAGATGTCACATGTCACCTGCACAGCACACAGACGTGGAGACCAGAGCAGAGCTGCAGGTGTTTATTAGAATGAGCTTGACAGACAGAACAAGGAGGGGACAGGTGTCTGGATTCCAACTTCAGGAGGGAGAGAGGACAGGGCTGCAAGATGTCATGCAAATCAGTCACCCCATTATATGGCTTTGAATTTGATAAGGAAGTCCGCAACTTTGAGTATGGTGTCTGTAGTATAGTATTCCTTGCATGGTGAGTTCGTTGTGATTTCATACTGGAAAACAAAAGCACAGAGAGAGGCGGAGGTGGTCACAGACAAGGTGCAGAGCTTCACCAGGACTCCCCAGTCACCCACGATGAGACTGCTCCTTGTCCTCAGCGAAGGAAACTCCCTGCAGTGACTCAGGTCTACACAACAGACTCTGCCCAAGGGAGCTGCAGCTCATCCACAGCTGCCAGGCGGGAGTCTGAAAAGTCACCCTAGCCAGGCAGGGATGAAGGGGAGAAGGTGCTGGAAGGTATGATGGGGGGCTAGTGTGGAGAGGACACAAGATGGCTAACTATTAGTTTTGATGGTGTCCCGTACCTGAGGACATCTGTCCCGCACATTGGGCAATACATCCCTTGTGTGAGTGTGTTAGAAGAAAATCTTTTTGGAGAATGCTATGGTTTTGCAGGACCTGTCACTCAAACTAAAGTACAAACATCGTGAGGATGCACTATTCAAAACACACATCTGTATAATCCAGCTTTGCCTAAAGACAAGACAACAAAAAACACGGAGCAGCTGTGGTGGGCAGCTGCAGGCACTCCCTGGGGTGGGGTGTCATCTAAGCCATGCAGGGAGGTTCTGCCCTGGCCCTGAGGATGCCAGGGGAAGGAGGGCTTCATCTGAGACAGGGGAGTACAGTCAAGGGAGGATCCAGAGAAGGTGACACAAGCCAGTAGACAGAATTCAGACATCTTAGATCACAGCTGAGGGTGCCCTACCTGTGCATCAGGCAGAGCAAAGATCTCCTCTGTCCCTGCCTGCCCTAGTGTGTAGAGAACCCGAGATTACGCATAGCACGGGAGTGTTTGCGGAACTAGCAGAGAACATGCTGGCTGTGTACCGGCATGCTGCATTGACATGTACTAGGGTGTCTGTTGTTCATCCCCCGACACACATTACTTGTACACAGCATGGCACCATGTGTGCGTGGGGTGTGGGGTTAGGGAGGAAGTTACCACAACTGCCGATTCCAGGATTTTGCTTTTCAATCCTCCCTCATTGTAGCATTCCTGGATTTTTTCAACAGCTTCCCTTTCTTTGGCAGTCGGGTTAAACTTGGTAATGATGGCGTTCAATACGTTCTTGTCTCCAAGTACCACTGCACTGAAGGTTTTATAGAAAGTCACGCATGCTTCCGCTGCAAACACAGAAAACCGTCATTAAGGGAACCCCAGGCTACAGAAGCAGACATTCAAGGTGTCTTGCCACATCTACAAATGTCTTAACTGAACTTCACAGTCCTGCCTTCCTGAGGCTGCTGCCTCCCAGACATATCACACAGATTCCATAGACACACACTCTCAGAAGAAGGGGATAAATGAGTGTGCCAGCCTGCATATCTGACCTTCACGTAAATCCTACACATGACCCAGCTTCAACTATGCATGCAAATAAGGACAGGTCATCACCACATACCCCTGCTCCCCATCCCACCAACCCCAACTGTCTCAGTCCAGACAAGTAAGTCAAGGGACTTGGGCAGGTGTCCTAGCTGGTGACCTCCCAGGGACCCCTTAGATCTATGTCCCGGCACTGCTTGGAGATCTATTTGGAAGTGAGATGGGGTGAGCAAGGAGAAGAAAGGCCGTCTGTCCCCGTTCTCACTTGTCTGGATGCCCAGCTCCCCGGTCACCAGCAAGGCCAGCAGAAGCAGGGTCCCCTTCATGGTGCAGAGTGCTAAATGCTCTTCTCAGACCAGATCCTGCTGCCTTATAAGCTGCTGTCTCCCTGAGCCCAGTCCCACCCACCCCATCCCACCCAAGCCCAACCCTGCCTCCCACGAGTTCCAAATGCCTTTGGGCAAGAGCCTGGCACCTGTGGATTCCTGTCCCTCTTGCATGGGGGAGTGAGCATAGCAGCCCCTGCCAGTCTGAAGAACAAATGGCTGGAGACATCCTAATGTCATCAGCTTCTGGACAGAAGAGGTTGTATCTTTGCCAGAAGACGTCTGGACTGACCTTTCTAAGCAACCACATGCTGAGCCAAGTACCGTGTTGTCCTGACACAACTGTCACCCCTACTTCCTCTCCTGGCTGCAAGCATGTCTTCTATAGCTTGGAGGTGGAAACCATGGAGGTCAAAGAGGGTTTCTGTCACTGTAGGGAGCCAACAGCCCACAACACTGCTTTTCACTGAGATCAACATGTGTGCAGATGTGTGCACATCTGGGACCATACTGTGTTCCTTGGACATCTTAGCTGCTGTCGCCTGTGGAGTAGACCTCTCAGGACAGGGGGCACCATCTGGGGCTTTTAGTGACTGCCAGCCAAGGTAGTCCCAGTGTGTTAGGTCATGTGGTTCTCCTCTGTGCATTGGATGTTTTTGTCTCACCAACTGCATCATGCTGCAGTGTCCCCCTCCCTGCCTCAGCAGCTAAGTCCTGTTGTCCTGCTCTCGTCTCTCTCCCCCCTACCAGGAAGCAGGTCTCTGAGAATTCAAAGAGTAGGCTCCATGCGGAGGGACATGTCCCTGTACCATGAAGTCTACAATGCCCACCGCCCCACAGGCCACAGTGGACTGGCTGTCTAGAAACTAGAGTTCTCCACTGTCCAGAAGCAGTGCTGTGTGTGTGGACAGTCTCAAGTTCAAATCACCCTACTTCCCTCTGATTCTATGTGTCACCATAGAAACAAAGCTCTGTCAGTGTGGAGGTTTTAAACTGGGTTGATGTGGGCAGTCTGACTTTCTATGGACAGAATGGACGGAGTGGAAAGGAGAAAACATGCTGGGCATCCATGTCTCTCTACTTCCTGATTGTCATGTGGTCAACCACTATGAGTCCCTGCAGCCCCCCTCCTCATTCCCGCCATGCACTGCATCCCTTCAGACAGTAAGTGACAGTCACTCCTGCTCTGGTACATTGTCACTAGTTCACCAATACCTCACAGGAGTCATTTTTAGCATTTTACAATCCCTGAGGTTAATCCATTGCACCACACAGAAAAATGGGGGTGTCTAATGAAATGGCTCACTGGGTAGAGTGCTCAGTATGCAAGCCTAAGGACCTGAGTTCAGATCCCCAGGACCCCCACTAATCCCACATGAGCTCCAGGTTCAGGAAGAGAACTTGACTCAAAAAATAGAGTGGAAGGCCCTGGAGACAGCTCAGTGATTGAAGACACCTGCCGCTCAGTCAGAGTCCACATGGTAGACTATAACTGGCTCCTGCTAGTTGTCCTCTGATATTCACAGACACACACACACACACCCCTGAATAATTTCTGTGGAAATTAGCACAAGACAGGTACACAAGCTTTTAAATATCAAACAATGGGAATAGCAAACTAAATATCATCGTATTGAATTATGACATGCTGACATGAATGGCTGAGTGAGCAGATCCTTATATAGAAATGAAAGACAGTGTTCTTACAGAAGAAATCATGAGTACTTACATATGCTCCTCTTCTCTCGGGAGGGGAGTTTACTGCCTCAGTCCTTCAGTGTGAGCCTCATGTGTCCACAGAAAAATACAGGTGGGCTGAGGCTGCCCCAGTTAGGAAAATACTTGCTGTGTAAGCTTGAATACCTGAGTTTCAGTCCCCAGGCCCATGAGGAAAGCCAGGCACAGTGGTGCTCCTTGTAATTCCAGCACTAGGGAGTCCGCCCCTGGGGCTCACTGGCTAGTCAGTCTAACCATGTCAGCAAGTCCAGGATCAGGAAGAGACTCTGTCTCTAAAATATAAGGAGATCAGCTATTAAGAGGACTGAGCACCCATGGGGCAGCTAACAACCCCCTGTAACTCCAATTCCCGAGGATCCAACACCCTCCTCTGGGGACCACAGGCCCTGCACACACAGTGTGTAAGACTTTCATGCAGGCAAAATCTCCATGCATAGAAAACAAAACAAATAAAATCTTTTCACAAAGCAGAAATCTGCATATACAATATGTATGTATGTATACATGTACAAGCACACACATAAACACACACTGACATATACTTTTATATGGTGAGAGCGACTGAAGCACTTGATTGTCTATCTCTGTTGGCCATGCTTCTGCACACATGCATGCCATGTGTCTCAGTTAAGATTACTATTGCTCAGCCAAGCATGGTTGTGTACACTTTTAATCCCAGCAGGCAGGATGCAGAGGCAGGAGGATCTCTGAGTTCAAGGCCAGCCTGGTCTACAAAGCAAGTTCCAGGACTGTAGCATCTACAGAGAAACCCTGTCTCAAAACCAAACATAAAAAGATTAATATTGCTATTGCTGTGAGAAAACACCGTCACTAAAAGTAAATTGAGGAGGGAAGGGTTTATTTGGCTTATACTTCCATGTCACCATTCATCATCAAAGTCAGAACAGGAACTCGGGCAGGGCAGGATTCTGGACAGAGGAGTGGTTGCAGAGGCCATGGAGGATGCTGCTACTGGTTTCTTTCCCAGGGCTTGCTCAACCTGCTACCTTATAGAACCCAGGACCACCAGCCAGGAGATGGCACCAACCACAATGGGCTTAGCCATTCTACATTGATCACTAATTAATAAAACCAGGCCACCCAAAATGGGCTGGTCCTTCCCCCAATCAATAAATAACTAAGGAAATTCATGGCCATTGGCCAATGCTAGTTGCCTTTAATCCCAGTACCTGAAGGAAGAGACAGCTTGAGGCCAGCCAGGTTCACAAAGTGAGTTCCAAGACAGCCAAGGCTACAAGATAAAGCCTGTCTTGTGGTAGGGGCTAGTGTTTGAGACAAAGTTTCTCTGCGTAGCCTTGGCTGCTCCAGAACTGAGCATACTAGCCTGCCCTCAAACTCAAAGAGATCCACCTGTCTCTGCCTCCAAGAGCTGGACTTAAAGACATGTGCCACCACTGCTAGGTAGAGGCTTTTTCTTAATTGAGGTTACCTCCTTCTGATGGCTTTACCTTGTGTCAAGTTGGCATAAAACTAGCCAGCACATCTCACAAATGAACATATACACACACACACACAGAGAGAGAGAGAGAGAGAGAGAGAGAGAGAGAGAGAGAGAGAGAGAGAGAGAGAGAGAGAGAGAGAGGAAAATGTGAGTGAATGGGAAATCAGTAGAAATATCTGGACACAGAATGTTAATGGTTCAAGTGAGAATTTCCAGTCACTGGGGAAAGGTGCAGGTGTCATCTGTTCTCTGTCATGCAGGATTAGGCACTAAACCTCTGTGAGATCTCCAAACAGTCGAATGTCAGCTCTGATGAACTAGAAGAGTGCTGCAGGTGTCACCCACCAGTAGACACTTCTTTCCCACAGTATGCCCATGTCTCCATTCCTAGTACTTCCACGGAATACAAAGGCCTAGCTGGGCCTCAACAGTCCTGGGAACTTGCAAGGTCATCAAAACAAGGCCTGGAGGACACAGTGGACAGCTCATGAGTAGATATTAGTACTTGGCACCTCTTTCCCAAAAAGGTTACAGGATGCATATCCTGTTTGGCTGAGGCATGCAGTAAATTAAAAGCTAATGCCTTTCTAAGTCTTCAGCAAACTTCTGTCACTGTGGATGGAGAGAGCGTGACCATCAAGTTCCTTTAACAACCAACTCCTTAGTTCTGACTTATCAAAACACAATCTTTACTGTCAAAAATTAATACCAGCCAAATTACATAAGCTCTTATATAAAGTGAATAGGGAAGTGGGGGTAGGGGTGGTGACAGTTTGAGGCCAGGCTGGGTCATCTGGGAAGATACTGTTGTTTCATGTTACAGAAAGGTCTTGTTTAGAGACTTGAGAGACGCCAGCTAGCCCTCCAGTATATCTAACGACCACTGTGGAGACCTCCTATGTGGTGTCCCATGGATGGAGTGTCACATGCCTTGCTCTCCTGAGCCCTAGGACATCTAAGGGACACAAAATCAGCCAATGCAAGAGTTTCTGGGGAAGCAGGGACAGGGTTCAGAGCCCCGTGTTGTGGTGGAGGCCAGGCGTGTTCTCATGGACAGGGTGGGTCCACGTGCACTGTGGTGTTGGCATCTGTGTTCCATTGCTGTGACCAAACTCCCCAGACTCGGTGCTGTATGTGGAAGAGAAGTTAACTTGGTTCATGGGAGGAGTCTTGACAGTCCCAGATAGAGCAGCCACATCTAGGCACTGCTTGCACTGTGTGAACTCATGGTGGGGGTGGGGAGGTGAGGGGAGGTGGTGGAAGTCAGTCCTAGAGCAGGGGCTCCACCTGATTACAGCCACCACCATAACTGCCTGACAGCACTGCCCCACTGGGGACTATGGTGCAAGGTGGGGGTTGCTGTTTGAGTTGAAACCACAGCTGGCTGTCCCTCTGATATGGTGTTTGTTGAATCTGAGCATCAGATCTCACAGCCAGGTGACTGGGAGCACACCAGCCAGTCAGAGCCGAGCATTGGGAGACCCTGGTTCTCAAAGTGGTCATGCTTACGGGAAATGGTGTCCTACCCCATACAGAGATGCTCCAGTGACAGACAGACCAGGTAGATGATAAGTTCTAGTTTCAGGGGACACAGAGTGGTCAGGAGAGCTGCGGAGTCCACTGTGGGAACCTGAGGTAGGTGAGTCCCAGGATAGCTGTCTGGGATCTCTTTGCTCAGAAGATAGAAACTGTGTGTGGGGGAGGGGAAGTCTCCAGCTGCTAGCTTGGGCTGCTCCCTTGCCCTCCATGTGTCACGGCAGTGGACAGAAGCACAGCTGGTGGGAGCAGCAGCAGGTGGTACCCTAGGTGAGCAGGCCTCACACTAGCATAGACCCAGAACACTCTGAAACAGCCTTACTGAGGCCATGCCTTCTGAAGCCTGGGTAACCAGCTCAGATTGCCCTCTAGTCTCTCCAAGGTTCCTGTGGAGTCTTCAAAATGGCCGGTGCTGTCCTCGAGGAAGAATTGTGGCTTTCTGAGGGACAAGGCAACCGGAGCAGGAACACAGAATCAGGCAGAGGCCAATTAGGGGTCAGATTGCTCCACACTGACATGTCTTTCTTAGTTATGAGAAAATGAGCCTGGGGCTCTTACAATATGACCTTAAAGGACACACTCATGTGACAGTGACAGAGTCTCACTGTGTGATTCTGGCTGGCCTGGAACTCCCTGGGTGGATCAGGCTAACAAGCTCATAGTGATCCTCCTGCCTCTGTCTTCCAAGTGTTGGGATTCAAAGTGTTTGATACCACATCAGGCATTGTTAATGGATTTTAACAGTGCTTATAACCAGCCACAGGGAAAGGTGAATTCACCATACACACACACACACACACACACACACACACACACACACACACACACACATATGGACACTCCATTCTTAGGAGGTTTATGAACACAAGATTAACCTGGGAAAGATCCTATCTGACAAATCACACAAACATCAACAAGGGTCTAAGAGATCAAATTTAGCTGGACAGAGCACTCATTTAATCCCAGCACTCAGGAGGCAGAGGCAAGTGAATTTTTTTAGTTCAGGGCCAGCCTGGTCTGCACTGGGATGTTCCAGGACAGCCAGGGCAATGTCTGGAGACCCTGTCTCAAAAGAAAACAATAGCAACAAGGAAAAGGTGAAGTTGAAGAGTGACTACAACAGCAGGAGGACTTCAGGGTTACAGAGGGGTTCAGGGAAGCCATGAAGCAAGTGAGAGATGGGGGCAGGGATAGAAACAGTCAGAGCAGGGGACCCCAGTGAATATGATGTGGTCTATCCTAGACATTGACTACGAGGGAGACTTTTCAGTAAACATTGAGTTCCCTGCCAATCAGGGTGACCATGGCCTCACTCTGGAGGTCTGGTTGAAGGAACTTTTGCCTGGCTGGCAAGTCATCATCTCCTTGATGATATGACATGTGACCTTAAGCAGAGCACTAAGAAGGGGACCAGGCTGAGCCAGGGACTTTGTTGACCAGGATCTTCTCCTCTTGCCAAAATACACATCTCCCCTGACACAGCCCCAGATGTATCACTCAATATTCTGGGAGGAGCTGGGAAGGGCTCAGACACAGCCCCTCCCTGCCCACTGAGCAGCCCAGGGCAGTTATAGAAGGGGCCATAGCTGGGTAGGAGCATCTGCCACCATTACCATGAAGCTCGCTGGTGCTCTCGTGTTGCTTGGGGCTGCCCTGCTCCTGACCTCAGGAGGAGGTGGGTACTAGGCTGTGGGTGTTGGGGATGAGGGGTCTCCAGGGCTCTCACAGCTTCACTTCCCAGGAAGGACTCATGTGCTCTGATGCTAAGTTTCAAGGGAGGATCACCTATTCTTTATGTTCCAGATTGTGGCATTTGCCCGGCTATAAAAGAAAAGGTTGAGCTTTTTCTTGGCCCATCTGTGGAAGCCTATGTTGACTTTGTGAAGAAATACAAGGGTGACAATGCCACTCTGGAAAATGCTGAAAATATGAAGAACTGTGCTGATACCAAGTTGACAGAGGAAGACAAGGAGAGTGTACGCAGTTTGCTGGTGAGTTCTCTTGTGTCTGCCCAGGAGTCTGTCTGCTGCCCTGCTCACCCCAGGTTGGCGATGGAGCCTGTGTTCCTCCCCATCACTGCAACTCCTCTGTGCATCCAGAAAGAGGCCTCTCTCTGGTTAGGGTATCAGGACGATGGGGCAGGAAGGGACAGTCAGGAGGCCTGAGCTAGGCCTGGCTGTTCAGCTCAGCCCAGCCAGACTGGACCCTGCAGGATCCCTGCCCCCACAATACCACTTGGCCTCCATCAGCCTTTCTGGCCCAGCCTTCGGGGCTTAGCCACACAAACACAGGGCCTGGTAACCTTCTCCAGCCTGGGTCTTTTATCCTAACTGGTCAAGTCTAGAACTGTACCCCCAAAACAGGCCTTTTTTCTTGTCCTCTGGATCTCCAAGGCCACTATGTAGAATCCAGGGTGGAGCATGTAATTGGGTCCCCTGTTTTCACTAGAAGTAGTAGGATCAGTCTCCAGGTTAACGTCATGTATCTCAGGGTCTTCATGTCAGAGCAATCAGTTCACTTGTGGGGCCATAGCTGCCTGAGGCTCACTTGGAGCCACTTCAGGTCCTGCCCAGCTGCTTCTGCATTCTGTCCCACATGTGCCCATGGTGTCCCGAGGGCAGGTGGCTCTTTCCATCAGCCTGGATTGGAGGTGTTTACAAAGCTTGCCCTGATGTGGTTTGAGGGATACAGGATGGAAGGTTTGCTCCCTGGACCTGGTCAGAACCAGGATCTATGGCAGACGGGTACAGCTCCCTCCCAACTGGTGTCCCGTGTATGATCAGTGATGTCCCCTTCACCTCTCATGCCTCACTGACTTTCTCTTTCCAGGCGAAAATAGAGGCTAGCAAATACTGTTGGTGAGTCCATCTTTGCAAGAAGACTCAAGGAAACCACTTAACTGCTCACCTGCATAGATGCAGGAAGCCCTACCCCCACCCTCCAGGTGTCTAAGACCAGGATTCCAACAATAAAAGCCTTGCAATCCACAGGGGAGTCTGGACTGTGTGGATTTGAGATGGGGCATTGATTGGAAGGAGGATGTGGGGAACAACCATGGATATTGAACTATCACTGCTCAATTGCAGCTCTGCCAGTGAGTCCCGGCAGCATGTATTAGGGAATGCCAAGAGACCACAGTCACCACAGCCAGAGTGTCTGTGGGCCAGAGTCCATAGGGCACATACATGATCTCTCCTATTGAACTCCCCAGGAAGATGGAGTAGTTACGGGATAGAGAGGCTGTCCTCTGCACAGCAAAATCTGTCCTTTCTGCCCCCTGCTGGGAACATGGGCCAGTTGTGTGGAGTACTTGTGTCTATAATACTCCCTACCCCAGTGGGGCAGTGGTGTGGTACATACCTTTAACCCAGCCCCTGGAAGCTAGTGGATCTCTATGAGTTCGCCCCCAGCCTGGTCTGCATTGTGAGCTCCAGGACAGCCAGGGTTGCAGAGAGAAACCCTGTCTCAAGAACGACAAATAACGAAAAGCCTCCCCTCTCCAGGCCTGTAGTGAGGCTTCACACCCCTGGCACAAAAGCCAGGCCGTAAAACAAGTACAGGACCCGGCCAGAGCCAAGGGTTCAACCTCAGCTCCTTCTAGTGCCAACTCACGGTCCTGAGCCCATCCCCTCCCCGATGGATACTGTACCCTGTGCGACCCAGGATCTTAGAGCTTCAGAACCTGTGACTCTGCTCTGTGACCGTGGCAAGTCCTTTCCGGCAGCAGCCACCAAATAGTTACTAGTGCCCGGTTGTCAGGCCGTGAGTCCCACCGCTAGCTCAGTCAGCCGCGTTGTCCCCATGTAATAAGTTTTCAGTTTCCCGCTACCAGGCTCTATGCAGAAGGATGTATCTAGGTTCCTCATGATGAAGAGGCTTATGGAAGGCTCCAGGGGTTGCAGGTCTTCTCATTATGGAGCATGCCCTGGGAGGAGTACAGTGTGTTATTCTTCTATACAAGTCTGTGATAAAATACTCAAGGCTGGGTATTTATAATGAAAACAAATGTCATCGTTTTGAAGGCCAGAGTCCTGCAGGCTCATCTTTTTAGCCTCTAGTGAGGGCCTTTGACTGCATGTGACAAAGGGACAGAAAATAGCGCCGGCCATGTGGCCAGGTTAGTGTGGGGGTGGCCTCCGGCACCCCCACTGGGTCACCACACTGGGGACCAAGTTTCCAGCACGCGGGGAACTCTTAGGGAACACAGGGAAACCAAACCCAAAGCTAACAGCACAAGAGGAGGCCGTCTTGCACAAAGCAAACAGCACAAGAGGAGGCCGTCTTGCACAAAGCAAACAGCACAAGAGGAGGCCGTCTTGCACAAACTAAGGTCTGATGTCTAGGAGCTACTATTCTGACTCCCAAGCATCCGGCGGGGCCGTGCTTCTGAAGGGGGCCTCCTGCCGGTGCAGGAGCTAAGGGTAGTCTAGGGGCTACGAAGACCATGTGCAAACTCCTCAGTCCCCGTGTGGGACTCAGGAGGCTGTCCCACCATGCTTCTTTCTACAGGTTTAAAAACCCAGGGCTTCTCTGTCTGGGGCCTGGCTGGGCTCACAGCAGCTACTACTGAGCATGTTCAGGCCCTTGGACTTAGTCACACAGCTCTTTCTAGAGAGAATGGCACCAGATGGATTAGGTAGGCCTAGTCTTGGGCAGATGGCATCGCACCTGCAGTGAGCATGACGGTGTCCTGTGTTGAGAGGGCTGGCTGTCCTCACTAGAACACACGGAATCTCTCCCCCCCAGCCCAGCTCTCTGGGGACTGGTGCCGGACTGACATTAGCCGCTGCCCCTTCTTCCCCTTCTTGGTTGCATTCTCCGACCTGTGGAGTCACGACCTTCCAGATCTTTCAGGGTCTGCCCTTCAAGCCAGCACACTGAGCTGCCTGCAGACTGGGCACTGTGCTCCAGGGTCCCAGCGTTGGTGAGCTGTCCGTCACCCATGCCGGGTGAGGCTTTGGTAATGCAGCTGTAAAGTAACGAGTAAAACTCATGGGTTTATCAGTTGGACTTCTGTGGTATTTGTACTTCTGTCTGCCATTGGCCCCTTCTTGAGAGTGAATAGACACTGTTCGTGTCTTCCTGGGAGCGGTGTCACACAACAGCCAGTGAGATGGCTTGCTGGGTAACGGAGCTTGCCACTAACCCTGGCAACCTGACTTGGATCCCCAGGATCCATATGGCGGAAGGAGAGGGCTAATTCCCACAGCTGTCCTTGGGCCTCCACGGGCACACACTGTCACGCATACACTTATGTGCACGGTTTAAAAATGTGAATAGTGGGGGCTGGAGAGATGGCTCAGTGGTTAAGAGCACTGACTGCTCTTCCGGGGGTCCTGAGTTCAATTCCCGGCCACCACATGGTGGCTCACAACCGTCTGTAATGAGATCTGGTGCCTTCCGCTGGCCTGCAGGCAGAAAACTGTATGCACAATGAATAAATAAAATATTTTTAAATGTAAATAATGCATTTACTTATACACACAGTTTAAAAAAGTAAAAAAAAAAAATACTAGTTTAAGGAAAGGTGTGGTTGGTGCACACACATTTAATCCCAGCACTCGGGAGGCAGAGAGGCAAGCAGATCTCTGAAAGTTCAAGGCCAGACTGGTCACTCTGTGAATTCTACAACACGCCCTGTTGTAGAACAGCTTCCTTTGAGAAGGAACCGTTCCATCCTGCAGGAAGCTCTTTCGGCAGCCAGGTAAACAACTCAAACAGCTTCAGACTCGCTATGACAGAGGAAGCAATGAAGCCAAGAGTCCAACCTGTTGAGCAGCCGCAGGCTGTGCAGAGAGCTCCAGGGCCCCAGCGTGTGTGAGCTGTCTGTCACTCATGCTGCGTGGGCTTTATGCTCCTGTAACCCAATAAACCTCACTGGTTCACCAACGTGGGTTTCTGTCCTTTGTCCAGTCATGGGCTCCCAATCTGGGGTTAACAGAAGTGGGTTGGGTCTCCACAGGATGCACAGCCACATAGTGAGACTCTACCCTCTCCACACACCCCACCCTACCCCCAGTAACAACAACAACAACAAAGACAGAGTGATCTCGAAGAGGAAGTTTGCCCAGTCTGGCATACAAAGTGAGTTCCAGGGAGGATCCACAGCTACACAGAGAAACCATGTCTTTTTTTGTTTGTTTGTTTTGGTTTTTCAAGACAGGGTTTCTCTGTATTGTTTTGGAGCCTGTCCTGGAACTCGCTCTGTAGACCAGGCTGGCTTCGAAATCACAGAGATCCGCCTTCCTCTACCTCTCGAGTGCTGGGATTAAAGGCGTGTGCCACCAACGCCTGGCGAGTAGCCCTGTCTTGAAAAACCAAAAAAATAAAATAAAATAAATAATATCCATGTTCATGTCAGAACGGTTTACAATCGCAAAGATGTTAAGGACTTATCTTTTTCTTTTGTTGTTTTCAAAACAGGATTTCTTTGTGTAACAGCCCTGACCTGGAACTTTCTCTGTAGACCAGGCTGGCCTGGAACTCACAAAGATCCACATGTTTCTGCCTCCTGAGTGCTGGTATCAAAACTGTGCCCCACCACATCCAGCTGACTTAAAAGTTTTTCCAAGAGACAAATAGATAGGGAAAAAATGTGATACATCACCATGGCTGATCTTTACTGCCCATCTTGCCTGAATTAGACTCTCCAGCGAAACACACCTCTGCATGTACCTATGAGAACATTTCCAGAAACTCTGATGGTTCACTGAAGACTAACCCTGAATACAGGAAGTGACACCCCATGTGCAGGAAGTCTCTGCTTTCCCACCACAGGTGGAATGTGAGCAGCTGCCTTAAGCTTCCGGGCCACGACTTCCTTTACTTGCCAACAGACATTCCCTGTCCTGACCACCTGTCCCAAATAACCACACATCCGCTTATATTGATTGTAAATGGCCAGCCAATAGCTCAGGCTTATTACTAACTAGCTCTTACATTTTAAATTAACCCATAGTTCTATCTGTGCTTTGCCTCAAGGCTCATGGCTTGGTGCCTCCTTTTTTATACATCCTATCTATTCAGTGGCTGGCTGGCTGGCTGGCGACTCCTCCGACTCCGCCCTTCCTCATCCCATCCTTCTCAGTTTGGCTCTCCCACCTAACTTCCTGCCCAGGTATTGGCCAGTCAGCTTATTATTAGCCAGCGAGAATAACACACAGTCATAGTGCAGAAGAGGATTGTTCCCAATAGTTATTACATTCGTTTTGGGGGTGTGTGGTCAACACACACTAGCTAGTCTCCCCTTCTGCCCTACGGGTTCCAAGGATCATGGGTCCTCAGTCTTGGTGTCAGGGGCTTTGCCTGCTGGGCCCTTACCCGTGCTGTGCCTCCTCTCCATGATGGGTCAGTCCTACCCTCCCATGATCTAAAGTAAGCTCCCTCTTCTTAAGCTGCTTGCAGCAGGCACTTCATCACAGTTTTGAGGAAAGCAGCAGACACGGCGCATACACTCAGTGACAGAAACATATGAGAGCAGTGTCAGCCAGCTTTGACAATGAGAAGGATGGACTCTCCGGAGAGATGGTGAAACCAGAGTCTGGATGACTCTCTCCTCCTTGTCTGCGAGGGATCCGTCACTAACACAGGAATGTAACTCATGGGAGCCGAGCAAGCCAAGATGTCTTCACCCTGAAAAAAAAATGTCCTTGTAGATACATCCTGTCTCCTAAGTGACTCTAAAGCTGGTCATGTTGACATTGAAGGAGAACCTTGTAGACATGTCCTGTCTCCTAAGTAACTCTAAAGCTGGTCAAGTTGACATTGTAGACATGCCCTGTCTCCTAAGTAACTCTAAAGCTGGTCAAGTTGACATTGTAGACATGTCCTGTCTCCTAAGTGACTCTAAAGCTGGTCAAGTTGACATTGTAGACATGTCCTGTCTCCTAAGTGACTCTAAAGCTGGTCAAGTTGACATTGTAGACATGTCCTGTCTCCTAAGTGACTCTAAAGCTGGTCAGGTTGACATTGAAGGAGAACCTTGTAG